GTAATTGCTTGTCAGAACAGTTTTATGGGTACTTTAAAATCTTGTTAAACAATTCCAATAATTGATTCATCTAAATGGTAGTGTCTGTTTATTGTCTTGTTTTCATTAATCTGATTTTTGTGATTCTTGTTATCACAGGTGTTTATGGTGTCTGGTATTTTTCAGGAGACTCAGAGTCCTGCTAAAATCTTCCAATTTTATCAAGGAGTTGCCTGTGTTAACATACAGATTCTGCCTTTCTTTGTTGATGTCAGTTTGAATGACAAATTTTCTATATCCTTGGTGCATTATTTGAATGTGTGTGTGTGTGTGTGTGCATGCGTGCGTGCGTGCGTGCGTGCGTGTGTGTGTGTGTGTGTGTGTGTACTGCTGGGTCTTGTTTTACTCTGATAGACATCCTGATGATTGGAAAGATGTTTTCTGAGCATTTTCTCTATTTATCTCATTTGAAGGAAAGAAATCTCTGAGTGTTGAGATGATGGGTAATTCTAAGACTGTAATGGTTGTAGGATACTACCTTCCAGTATATTCTAAGATATCCAGCCCTATTAAGTATTGTTAGACTCACAAATAAAGTGGCTACTTGGACTGGTTATTTTTGTCAGTATCCTTGTTGCTCATGTCCACTAAAACACAGTCTCTCTGTTTGTGCATGGAGAAATCTCATGAGTTGGCCAACTGTTTTGGTACAAAAAAATTCCCTTTTGAAATAGAGATTATAATGCAACCTTAGAAATATATATGGAGAATAAACAAGTATAAAAGTCTCTGAAGGCAGGGATTTTTCTCTGATGATTTTATTAATTTAGTCATGATACCCATGGCAGAATCACAATGCATAATAGTTGCCTAATAAGTATTATCTGAATTAACCAGTAACATCAAAGAAAATGCTGAAGAATATGTATATTTATTATTTGATTATCAGTGAATGTTGGCTGGCTTCAATCATTATCTTCTCCAGTCAGTTAGTTAATAGGAACTCTGATACGAGTAACCTATTTGCTTTAGAATGTATAACAATAGATAATGTTACTTGTTCATTGAGAACTTTCTATTCACTAGGCATGATAACAACAACACATGCATTCAATACATGCATAGTTGAATTATGGGATAGAATCCTAAAAGCATATGCAATCTTGACTTAGTATTGGCAATTTCTCCTCATAGGAGCTATGATGTTTTTGTGTTACCAGCAGAACATGGTTATGCCTGTTTCCTTGCAGTTTTCTTAACACAGGATATTGTCAAACATTTGCAACTTTTTTACTCTAGTAAGCGAAAAATAAATTATATGTGAGGATAGCTTTGTTCTTAATTCACCTGGCTATGAGTAAGGTTGAACATCTTTCATCTGAGCCATTTATGTTTAGTTTTACGTATTTAGTTTCTAGTCAGTTTTTGTTTCAGTTCTATATATCAGGGATATACAAATTTAGCCTATGAAACATGATGTATTTATTTTTCTGTTTGTTTTACAATTTTGCTTTTAGATTGTTGTGCCCAAACCTTCTTTTATTTTTTATGTGATTATATTCTTACTTATTTATAGACTTTGTACTTTTTAGTTATAATTAAGAAAGCTTTTTCCCACTCCCAGTCTAAAGAGAAAGTCAACTGACCCCCTCCTCCCAGGACAAGCATTTGTTCACTTTTAATCCTTAAATATCTGATACATTTGGAATTTGTTTTTGTTGATAATATTAGGACTAAATTATATTTTATTATTTTTCATATGTTGTCAAAGTACTCAATAAAAATCATCTCAACATTTCCCCCAAAGAATAAGCAAACTGTGTTGGTTTATTGCAGTTTTAATTGTGGTATATATAATATAAATTGTTTTATTCAATTATTTTGATTATAGAATTAAGTATTATTAATCACATGTGCAATTTTGTATATATCTATTTCTTAAGCATTCTAAACCCCTAAACAGAAATGCTGTATCATTATGCAGTAACTTGAGTAAGATTTGTGAATACTATCAGGCAGGAATGTTATAGCTGTTTAACCTGTGAGAGCTAGAATAATGTTTTAGCCATAGTGTACAGGTGTTTTTTCTCCTTTTATTGAAAGTGAATTTTTTCACATAATATATCCTGAGTAGGATTTCCCTTCCCTCTACTACCCCTCATTTCCCCCACTTCCAGTCCTATTCAGATGCACCCCTTTTCTATCTCTCAGTAGAAAAGAAATGAACTTCTAAGGAATAATAATAAAAAATAATATAATAAGATAAAGCAAAAACTAACACATTAGAATAGGAAAAAGCAAACAGGAGAAGAGCCTAACAGAAGGCACAAGAAACAGATATAGGACAGACCCATTCATTCTCAAATTCAGAAATCCCATAAAAACACTCAGCTGGAGACCATAATATATATATAAGAATCTGTAGGGTAAAAAGAAAGCAAAATCATATAAATAAAATAAAGTTTAAAAAGATAAGCTTTAAAAATTTAAAAGCCCTGAGATTATATTATGAGACAAGAAATGCCCAAAGATGCCACTGACTTCGTTTTTTTGTTGGTCATCTACTTCTGGGCTTGCAGCCTATCCTTAATGGTTTGTTTCTCCAGTGACATTCCCTTGTAGAAAACTAAATGTTCATTTGAAAGTGGCTATCAAATGAAGGCACTTTCTGGGTTAGGTATGGGGACATGTGTCTTCTTCTTTTTTCAGCTTGAGGATACCATGTGGGGCAGATTTGTGTAGGCCCTGTGCATGCTGCTTTAGTCTCTGTAATTTTATATGTGCTTTGATCTTGTTGATTTAGAGGGCCTTGTTTTCTTGGTACCCTTCATCCACTCTGGCTATTACATGCTTTCCACCTCCTCTTCTACAGAGATCCCTGATCTCTGAGGGGAAGGATTTGATGGAGATAACGATGTAAGGATGCATGTTCCAAAGTCTCTCACTCTCTGAATAGTGTCTGGCTGTGGGTTTCTGTATGTATTATCATCTGCTGAAGGAAGAAGCTTCTCTGATGATGGCTGAGCAAGGCACTGATCTATGAGTCTAGCAGAATGTGACTAGGAGTCATTTTATTGCTACCTTTTTTCTTTAGAATGGTAGTATTTGGTTTTTTCCTAGGTCCCTAGGATATCTAGTCTCAGGTTCTTAGTCACCCAAGCAGTGTTGGATAGGACTTCTATCTCATAGAGTGCACCTTAAGTCAAATCAAGTATTGGTTGGTTACTCCCACAAGCTTTGTGCCACCATTGCCCTAGCTTATCTCATACAGGACAACATTGTATCTCACAGACAGGACACCATTTTAGATCAAAGAGTTTATACTTGGCATTTATGTTTCTCCTTTGCTAGTGTGCAGAGTACCTTCTGGTACTAAGAACACTGGTCCTTATAGGTGAAGCCTCTAGGTAGGTACCTGCTTGAATTCATCATATTTGGTGAGTTTTGTAAGTGTTTTCTTCAAAACTGGGCCTTGTAGTCAGTTTGTGGAGAGCAACAGCATGGGTTGTTTGGGAGTTCCTATGGGACCATGTTGGCCACCAACTCAGATATAATCTGATTCTTATACTGGAGGTTTCCATTTTTTATAAGAACTGTCCAGTTGAGGCTCTGTCTCCCCCATTATTTGGTGAATTCATTTAGATTCCCTTCGTATATGTATATACTGTAGGAAGCTTCTACCATATCTAGTTTCCATACTACCCCTCAAATGACCCTTAATTTTAGCTGTTTCTATTCATATTCCCTTCCTCTTCTCCCTTTTCCCTCCCCTGCTCTGCTTGATCTTCCTGTTTCAGTACCCCCAACCATTCACAACTATCTATTCTAGTTCCCTTTTCTAGTGAGATCTAAACATCCCCACTTTGGATTGTAGCTTGTTTATAATTGACTTATCAGTTGATATACACATATAATGTGTACCATATTTGTCCTTCTGGATCTGTGTTACCTTAATCAGGGTGATTGGGTTTTTTTCTGGTTCTTTTCGTTTACCTACTGATTCATTTTGTAACAGGAAAATAATATTCCCTAGTGAAAACGTCCCACATTTTTTATCCATTCATTTGTTGAAGGATATCTATGTTGTTTATAATTTCTGGCTAGTATTAATAGAAGAGCAATGAACATTGTTGAGCAAAGTTCTCTATACTATGATAAAGCATCATCTGGGTATATGCCTAAGAGTGATATACCTAGATCTTGAGGTAAATTGATGCCTATCTTTCTAAGGAACCACCATACTTATTTCCATAGTAGGAGAGCTAGAATAATCTTTACAGAATAAATATTCCAATCTCTTATGCACATAGAGAATAGGTTGGGAGTAATAGTCATAGTATCATTGCATTAATATCTGATGCCTTATCCAGTGGATATTAATACATTTTTACTATACTAGAATAAGAACTAATTTTTTCATCATTACCTAACATGTGCTAATATGTGTTTTACCTGTGAAAGTTTTAATTAAAAAGATTGGTACTAACTTTTATGTGAGATATTTGCTAGTCCCCACCTTTTGATATACTGTAAAATTGTGCTTTCTTATACTCATTATACTTATCAGTTGATGTGTGTGTCATGTGCTGTATGATAAAAGTGACATGTGCTATCTCTTGAGGGCAAAATGTTCTCCTTTACCTGATGCTTCTATCATAGTAGGACAAAAATGAAACCTTTTATGTATGTATCATTGTGGCTATTACATGTCAGAATCCCCATTGAATCTCCAATAGGCAGAGTTTGAACAAGAAATGATGTTTTCACATAACTAAAATTTGGGGGGGTTATTTTTCTGTAATCTGTTTATTTTGATTAATGCACTTAGCTTTACTTCATTGTATGTCTCTATGCTCTTTAGTTCCATTTCAATTTTCCATGTTGGTTACAACTGGTAAATTGATTCAATGATCCAATAATGTGGCTGAAACTAGAACTTTGATAAATATGTTTTATACTATATTCATTTGACTAATAGTAAATCCTTTCTCTAAGCTCTTATGAATACTCCTATATTTCAGGATTGTGGTTATGGAGAAGGTGGTGATGCATATTGCACAGCCTGCCCTCCCCGGAAGTATAAAAGCACCTGGGGACATCACAGGTGTCAGACTTGCATCACTTGTGCTGTCATCAATCGGGTTCAGAAGGCCAACTGCACAAATACCTCTAATGCTATCTGTGGAGACTGTATGCCCAGGTAAGCCTACTCAATTTTATCAGTCTTCCTGGGATTTCTTAAAACGTTTGATATTCCTTATCATTCTACCTCTTAGACCCTAGTAAAAGTTTTCTGACTACCCATTCCACACTCTATTTAAGCTCTATGAATGGGGAAACCATATCTTCCTAGCTAGATCCCTATATAAAGTATCTGACAATTATTAAACACAGATGAGCACTTAAAAGCTTTTTAATGGTGCTGATATTCTGCCTAAAATTTAAAGTAAAAATGTCACTTTAGATAGATTACACATAAATCATGAAAAAATTGGTATCATAACTGCTTTCCCATCTCATGTCCTTAGCTACCCTTTTGGCTATGGGATGTGATGAATTAGAAAAAAGCTGTACTGAATCACACATGTCAGAGTTTTCACAAGTGTAGGTATTGCTTCCCATGAAAGAAACATTAAGGAAAGACTTTTAGACATTCTCGATGATCTCAGGGAACACTGTTACAGACAATTGCTTGTTTCATCACACTGACATTCCTTTCTGATCTGATCACAGGTTTTACCGTAAGACACGCATCGGGGGACTGCAGGACCAAGAATGCATCCCATGTACAAAGCAGACTCCTTCTTCTGAGGTTCAGTGTGTGTATCTATTTTTCTCTCCTGTCTTCCCCAATCCTTTTTGTGCCATCAAAGTCAATAGACTTCTTTATTCTTGTAAAAGGAAAATACTCTTTAGTACTCCTTCCATTGGAGTCCTGGTAAAGACAATCACCTATGATTTAACCCCAAATGTTCAGCATTGAAACTCATTTCCTTTGTCTTAAAAATTGAATCTAATGAAAATATTTTTATTCATGCTTTATGACCTGCTTGGCTAGGTTTGGTCGAGCGAAGAATGCTATAATACACTTTCAAATAATAACATTTCTACATTTATTAATTGCTATTATAGTCAATATAGCTATTAAAGTCAATACACGTGGTATATGGAAGTACTAAGGTTTTAGACCACATCAGAATCTAAAAAAAAGAACTAGAATCTAGTATATGTCCATGTCATTTGACATTTACTTGTTTGTCTGAGTTTCCATAAATTTTGTCTATCTTCTAACATATTCTTTAAATTAGTGGTTTAATCCCTAAAAATCATAATATATAAAACAAACATTGCAAAATACACATAAGTATAAAAATATAAAGTCCTAAATTAGCTGAGATTTCTAGAAAAGAAATCTCAAAATTTTCCATATTTCCTTCAGATTTTTAAAAGAAGAGACATAATGAACTTCCCTTTTTTATCCTTTCTGTGTTGTCTTCATTCCTTCCCTCCACAGAAACAACCACTTTCCTGAAATTTTAAGCAGCTTTTTGTTAGGCTATCCTTTGCTAATAAATACCTACTATGTTTCCTTTCATATGGCAAAGGTCTTCTTCTACCAGGTGCCTATAATTGCTAAACTAGGTAGTACCCAGGTCCTTGTCACAGAAAGAAGTGATCGAGATGCATCAGCTCTCAAATGAGTCCAGAAATGACATACATTGTTTTCACTCAAAGTGCATTGGCTGCAATTATGTTGATGTCTTCACTGTAAGGGTGTAAAGAATACAGAGAGTGTATGGTTAATTTATAGGCATATTCCTCTGCTGTATTCTCTACTACTATTTAAATGCTTCTATAACTTCATGTATATTCATATTCTTAGACAATATGTGCTAGTATTTTGGTCTTTGCAATATTTTCTGTAAAGGTCATCTAGCTATTCTTCACTTTGTTTTTCTCCTCAGGGTTATTTATAATAATCAATGAAAGGTCTTTTATGACGTCTTAGGGGTAAATCACGATTTTCTGATCTAGTATTAACTGATGAGCATTTTAATTTGGTTCTATTTTTCAGGTTATATTACTAAATATAGCATGAATGAAGCACAATAGCAGCATCTTTTGGTTAGTCATACTAATTTACACAGTGCCTACAGCTTATGAGTTCTGCTTTTTTCATTATAATATTACCTATTCTCAGATAAAACATAGCAGCCCTGATAGACATGACCTAAAGGAGGAGATGTGACCAAAGAACCTTAGGGCCCTTGTCTAACTGTTAACTGCCCACATTGACTGGCCACCCCCATTGTTTTGTTTTTGTTGTTCCACAGGTACCTTCCAGTTGAGCTTAGTGAAGGTAGATGCACATACTGTTCCTGGTAAGGAAGCCACACTTGTCGCACTGGTCGGCAGTCTGCTGGTGGTGTTTGCATTGGCCTTCCTTGGACTCTTTTTCCTCTACTGCAAGCAGATCTTCAACAGACATTGTCAATGTGGTAAGTATGTCTGCTTAACATTTCACATGAATCAGAAGTAAGGTAAATATTTTTGGTAAAAGAGGAATTTTTTTGAAGTTTTAAGTTAATGGGCCTTCTCTGTCATATTGGAAAATCCCAGGAATGATGCTCTGTTATCATGTGGAGACGATCTGGGATGGCATCAAAAACATGGGATGTCAAAAGGGCTGGAATGTACTTGGTATAGTGGACTGATTTATTAGGTTTTAAGGGTTCTCTTAGTGGGAAATCACTTGGTAAAGAAACCTAGAGATCAAACATCTATTTTTAAACCATAATGTAACTTAACCTATCTAGATTCTTTGAGTTCACTTAATTTTAATCTTCAAAATGATAGATGGGATTGGAGGAGTTGTTTAAACTGTTTTCTGGCTGGGAGGTGGTGGAGCATGCCTTTAATCCCAGAATTCGGGAGGCAGAGGCAGGCAGATGCCTGTGAGTTTGAGGCCGGGCAGGACCGACAGCCTCCAAAACAATGCAGAGAAACCCTGTCTCGTAAAACAAACAAAAAAAAACCTGTTTTCTGTATTATGTATTAGTAGATTCTGAAGCATCAAAATTGAAGAGGATTTAGCTATATCTGAAACATGTCTAATAAATGTTAATGAGGTCTACAGTAAATGCTGTCAACACAGTATTTTCCCAAAATGGGATAACCGAAAGCATAGTATTTAGTCAACATTCTTATATTTTTCTGTCCTCCAAAATATTGCTGCTCCAGGAGATCTGGCCCATGCCATAGTAGATGCTACATGAAAAATCAACATAGATGATCATGTTCAAAGTCTTGCTAACGCTTTGACTTTTTTTCAACTTCATCTACTGGCCAATAATGTAAGGCTGAAAGTATAGTTCATTAAGGAGCAAATACAGAAGGAGTGGGATCATCAGGACTAAATAAGGCCATAGAATCCCAGACAAGAATACCAGTGTCCAGTGCAGTTTCAGTGCAATTAATGGAACCAAGAACTAAACAGGGAAAATGAAATAAAATAACTCAGACTAATACACAGACCTGGCTTAGTAAAGGAAAGGATAGAGTTGGAAAGGATAGAGTTTACTAAATTCAAAATGTATCAGGATTCCTTAACTTAATGGACACTGTGCCTGAAGCAACACTTTATTTTAACTTTGTGTTGGAAAATCCTTTTTTAAATAGAACTTGCTTAGTCCATTTGGCTCTAGAACCTATCAATGATTTATTTGTGTGTACTCAGTGTTTAGCAAAAATGAATCTAGCATTTCATGAGATAAAGTATTTCCCTCTTGATTCACAATGCCCCTTCTTCAACTCTACTTCAGTCTCCGTAAATCTTCTCTGGTACCTCTAAAGTTCAGAGAATGGTGGATCACTGTATCTCTGTTTCAATGACCATTCAGTCTTTGGACTGTGGTGTGTAAAATAAGAATCCTCACCCAGTCCTGGATCACGGGTAATGAAGTGTTTTGGTCCCATTTCTCATTAAGGTGGATGTGATACAACATTTAAGAACAGCCTGTCTCCCTATTCTTCACTTAGAAGAGAAAAAAAAAATGAGTAACTCTTTTTCTAGCCTTAGGATGCTATTGTAGTATTCTCCTGGAAGCATAATGACAGATAGCTTCCTCATGATTTCCATATGAGAAAGGTGTTTATTAGTACCCACTGACTGACACACATTTGCAGGGAATGTTAACTTGGTGTGAACTAAATCCAATGCAGATTCAGGAAAAAGGATTAGGATTGTGGCATACTAAAAGGACCATCTCCTGTCTATTCAAAAGCATGCTACTCTTCTCCTTCTATTTGTTACCACTCAAAACTTTCCAAATTTTCAAATAATTCAGAAATTTGTGATTTTGTATGAAATTTTCTTATGCGCTCACAAATAATTTGAACATACCATAATGTGGAAATAAGCAAGCATTTGGTTTGTAACCTAATATTGAGTCAGACTCATGTATGCATGATGGGTTACTTATAATGTAACAAATTGTCACATATTTAGTGGCTTTTCTCAGAGCAGTGGTTCTCAAGCTGTGAGGTACGATCTCTCTGGTGTTCAAATGACCCTTCACGGGGGTTGCCTAAGACCAGTAGAAAGCACAAATATTTACAATATGATTGATAACCAGCAAAATTATAGCTATAAAGTAGAAACATGAAGAAGTGTATTAAAGGACTAAAGCATTGAGAAGGTTGACATCCACTGGCCTAGACGCTGCTCATATTTTTTGGCTCATGGCTCTCTTCTATTTCTAAAACTAGCAATGGTATATTGACGTTGTTTTATGCTATACCTTTCTAATGCTCTGTGTCATTTCTGCCTTCTGATACTTCTGAGGATGCGTCTAGTAACCTAGAAAAATGGAACTAAATTAAAATGCTCGTTAATCATAGAATAAAAACCATGATTTTAAGGATGTTTGTGAAGTCATCTGCATAATTCAAGATAATCTTCCTATTTTAACATCCACTACCATAATACTGATTGCGTGGTTCCTTTGCCATAAAATATAATACAAACAAATTATGGATGAAAGGGACATATTAAAATATCTTTTCTAAAAGGCATTTATCTCTAGCTGAAGAAATTTGTCTTCCCTAATCTAGCATCTGGCCTATTAATGTTATACACCAATGAAAGCATGTTTCTGAAATGTATCAGTTTAGCCTAATTCTAGATACTTTTGTCCTCCAGAAGGGAATGGAAACTCTGGTTCCTAGACCTCCTTACTCCCTCCTTATTTTGTGCTCAGGAAGAGGTACCCGGTTGAGAAGAGACTGTGACTTTGGATGACTCAGTGACTTTCTGCTTCAACTTGCAGGAGGTTCGTTGCAATATGAAGCGGAGAAGGCAGTGGAAGAGGACTCTCTTTTCCCCATGCCGGCTGGCCAGGAGACCAGTCCTGAACTTCCAGTGAATGAGGGCATCTTTGAGATCAAGTCACTTAACTCCATCGTGGATGATGACTGCAGTTCCACTCGTGGCTTCCCCACCCAGGAGTCCTTTACCATGGCGTCCTGCGCCTCAGAGAGCCATTCTCAATGGGTCCATAACCCCATTGAATGTACAGAGCTGGACCTGCAAAAGTTTTCCAGCTCTGCCCCCTGTACTGGAGCTGAAACCTCGAGGGAGAACACACCTGGAAGCTCGGGAGACAGGCTGCAGCTCCATGTACCTTTTGAAGCTCCCAGACTTTGACTCTACTGAGGTGAGCTAGGAAAGTGTGGTTAAAAGTCCAGAAGGTATGGGCCACTCTAAACAAATTTCCAACCTCAGTTCTATTGCATGACAGGGCTTCGGCAGAGGACTGGCAGCAAATTAAGCTGATAGAAGTTGGAGAGGCAACAGTTGTGGCACTGTGCTTTTGAGATAAATTTACATCAGACTTGTAAGCCAACAATTGTCTGGAGACTGGGCAGGCTGACATGATGCCAGTGTCTTCATCTGGACCCCACTATTGACTAGTCATATTCAATTTTCTCCTTTAATGTGTATAAGTAGCACAGCATTGCACAAACGTGCAGGTCTATACTCGGATAAGCCACAGTTCCTGAATAGCATTATGAACTCATGGAAATCATTTTACCTCTTTCATACAAAGTCTTCTGCTCATAAGTTATTGTGAGGATTGAATGAAAATATATGCACAAGTGAGTGTCCTTCATAATGTCTTCAGGAGTGGTATTTACACCATGTAGACATTGCCTTCCTTTCCTTGCATTTGGCCACAAATTACAAATTCCTTCAATATTCACTACATTTTTTTCTGAACTTCACAGCTTCATGTCTTTGTGGTAGGCAAATCAGAAATATACTAATCTCATTTTAAACAGGCAGGAATTGAGCCACAGAGATGAAAAATGATTTGCTTAAAGTCACAGAGCAACCCAATCTCAGAACTAGGCTAGAACCCAGAATTATCAGTCCCATTATAGAGTTCATCTAACTCCATCACTGGATTTGAAATATATGTGTATCTCAAAATGTGTCACAGTTACATATGTTGTGTGCATGTGTGTATATATATATGTATATGTGTGTGTGTGTATACATATACATCTTGGAGAAAAATCAGAACATATATAAAATTCACCTTTGCTTCACGTACATCTTAAATACATATCCTGAAGGTACTTTCATGTGCTATTTTAAGTACAAACTGTCATGGGTGATCAAGTGTAAAATGTTTCACTTACTGTGTCATGTCAAATAGTTATGAAATTTTGAGCATTTGGGATTTTGAATTTTTGAACTTTGGACTAAGGATGCCCAATCTATTTCTTAATCAAGAACTTATGTAGTTCTTGTCCATATACTACAGTGAACAAGAGCTCACAACTGTCCAATGTGTAGTACAGCTATGGCTGAAAAATTGGAATTCAGCATAAAAAGCATAATTGCATCTCATCCTCTTGAGGGTTCTGGTTCTGTTCCTTGTGCCACACATCTGATTCCTCTGCAATGTGAGAGAACTGAAGACAACATCTGTCTGGACAGCATCACTTTTGGTTTTTCTTAAGTACATAGTATTTATAACTTAACCCAGTTTCAGTAAAATTACTTTGTCTAATTTGAAAGAGGATAGATTTGTCATCTCCATAGACAGGTGATATATTTCTGCTATTGTGTCCTAAATCATTGGTTTAACCATGAACTTGTAAAGGGAAGGGAGGGTGGTGATGAGACTGCATCACAGGATTCTAACTTACTCTGCTCTTTTTCTAGGTCTCTTTCACTCTTGACAACCTTGACAGTGGTTATTGCTGGATTTTCCTGCTCTTCTTCTGTTCAACAACAGTAGCATGGGCCTGTAATGTAGGCCCTACAATAGCCAGTATGGGGTATACATAGCTCCATCCTACCAGAGGGTTAAATCCCCACCATTTCCCCAAGACTGACCTTGAGCAATTTTGTTTATTTATTTTATCCTGGGAACCCAGATTCTACAGCCATGGAACTGCTGGGCATACTCTTTCTCTTTAATTAATTATAGAAGCGGGAGGAATAATGATGAACAAAGAGTGACTTCCTGCCTATATATTTTTCCTGCCTATATTTTTGTCAGATAGGCCTGAAGAAAGGACTTTACAGAACTCCAATGGCATTTACCTACTACTTTAGAAAGAAAATTGAAATGCTTGCCATTTTAGCTTTCTGCTTTGACTCTCTCCCCTACACACACACACACACACACACACACACACACACACACACACACAGTGGGAAAATATATAGATATAGAGATATCATGAGGGAGGCATGAAGTATTGATTCTACAACTCATGTCCTAGACTTCTATAGCTGTGATAGCTCTGAAGCCAGCATATTTGTTCGAGTCTCCATTCTCAAAGATTAAGCTGCCAACACTCTCTAGGTGATGCAAATTAGTGTCTTTTAGATTTCAAATATTTCTTATTTTAGAATTCTTTCCATTTTTATTACTCTTTTTGCCTTTTTCCCTTCCAGTCAGGTCTTGACTGTGAAGTTTCTGAGGTGCAGGAGTAGAGCACTGAAGAGCAAAGGGGACCAATTGGTGCTTTTTTGACTTAAAGAATAGTCCATTTCTCTTAAGCCTGAACCTCCAGTTTCACATGCTTCTCAGCATGAACTGAAACCTTTTTTTTTCATAAACTTTCTGTGGAACAGGGCAGACGTGATCCTCAGGACGTAGATGTAAGCATCATGTATTGATTTTAAGTATCCCCTTATGTCTGAAAAGAGCCACTAGTTTTGATGCCTATGCCCTCATAGTGGTCCAGGTTTAGGTGGGAAAAAGTGGTCAAATGATTAAAGCAACTGGATCTTTTTGCTTGGGAGTAGTGTTTGCTGTCCATGAAGCTAGTATGACTTAATTTATTGAAAATTTCCTTAATTTATTGAAAACAAACTAAATATAAGCACAATCATCCTGATCAAGATGTTAAGATTCACTACAAATATGGGTGCTACACTTTACAGTATTCATATCACAGCTGTCTTCTCCATGACTCTTTATACAGACTTTGGTATAGGCAGTGAAGGGGTTACTCAGTGCAATAGGGGTGCATAGCAAGGCTAGAACATTCTCAGTCATTCCTCCTCATTTGATACTTCCTGATGACTTTTAAAAGGTAGAAGAGCAGGGAATGAATGCATACAGGTATTCCCTTAACATAAAGGTGGCATATGCAGAAGTACCAGAATTTTGAGGCAGTTCTGCACAGTATTGCAGGATTCTTTTTCAAAAACCGAAGGGACAGGAATTTAGTTAGTGATGGAGTACTTGCCTTTAGCATGAACAAGGTCATAGATTGATCCTAGCCTTATAGAAGAAAGAGATTGGTGGAAGAAGGAGAGGATGGAAGTAAAGGAAAAAAAATAAAACATTTCCACCACCAAGAAATGAACTAGAACCCATAATCTGCTGGTGCTGCTGAAGCTGTAGTGGAGTATTCTATTGGAAAATATCACATGAGTTTGTCTTAGGAGCTTTGCTTGCTTTTTCTATTACTAGCTCTTAAATATTGTTACTTTTTCGGCTTGCTCTTGGGTCCCTAGACTCATAGCATTCTGTGAGTCTCCTGGATGGTCCAGTGGATATTCAAAGAGCAGTGGTCCTGAGTTGTAACATAAAACAGAAAGGAAGTTTCACATGATTCTCCTGGGTCTTATCTAATATTTGAAGTTCTATATTTCTCCACCCCTAACAGGAAGCCAGGTTGAAGTTTGATTTTTCAAGACCCTACAGAACATGTTTTAGCCAATTTTTGCTCTCCTATGTCTGAGTTCTCCATACAACCACCCAACAGACCTCTACAGATACCTCCAACTTATTTAGGATTATCTATGTGATGATGTGAAAGGTGACCCAAGGTACTGATATTTCTTTTGACATCTCAGTCAGTTTGATGCTTATTGTGCTGTCCATTGATTCATTTTGAAGGCTAATTTTGGCTTTAGCTTTTCTCTATACATTTCTTGAGCAGATAGAAACAAGAGGAACCTTGGATATTATATTACTTTTATTATCTCAGAATCTGAATCTTGTACAGCTAGTTTCTATCCTACAAGTGTGTGGTGGTTAACGTAAAATGTGGCCTTCATCACCAGATTTTATTTCTAACAGAGAGTATTCTCTACAAGATTTCTGGTTTTAGGATTCTGTTAAGTGTATCTTTAATAACAGCTCGTCCACAAACACTGATTAAAGACCTTAAGGTCAAATCAATGATAAGTGTGTTAAAAGCATGGGAGAAAAATGTTAAAAGGTCCCATTGTACTTGGCAGGGGATTAGAAGCAATTGAATCACAAGCCTTCACCAGGCAACCTGGTTTCATGTAAGCATTAGCAAATATGTGTGAGCCGACGTTTAGACCTTGGTCTTTGGGCTCACTGTACTTTTTTCTGGGACATTTATTCTTATCTCACCAACTTTAATTAGTCATATCTATACTTCTGGTGGAGAAGAGCTAACACCCAGTCTGAGATGGATTCGGCTTAAGAAGTTTCCAGCTGTTGAAAGGTCACCATGTGCCTAGCACTGCTTCAAACTCAAGTCTCTCACTGCTTCATAGTGAAAAGGATTGTGGTGATAACACAGCAAAAACATTGTGATTAAATGAGCCAGGCATCCCACTACACTGTGGTTGTACATAGCAAAGTCATTATAAGCCTGTACCAAAAATCATTTTGGTTCCAATTTTCTTAAATTTGACAGTTGGAGTTGGTAATTAGAATAAGGTGAAGTTTTGTTTTCATTTGTTTTCTAAGGTATCTTGAGTAGAAGTGAAGGATGCATTTCTTTCTTTAAACTGATATTTGGCCATAGCCAAATTCATATTTGCATGTTTGTGCAAGTAGTGTCCTCATAAAGTGGAACAATATTGCATACTATGTTTTTATGTGACTTCTACTTGGGAATATAAGTAAGTAGAAGAATCCATTACAAATGTATTCAACATAACTCTGAGCCTGGAGAGTAGCTCAGTTTTACATATTTGAACTAGCAAAAGAATGGTGATCTTGTTTACAAGGCTGAAATAGGTGTTTAATGTAGGTGAGTCAGGCTTCAGTGTTCACTTACTCCTCCACTTACAATTTCACTGGAATTTTGAAAGGTTTTAAGTACTATGGGAGATCAGCTTTCTTCCCTAAGGGTCTTAATATCAGGTTAAATAAAATGTCAACACTACATCGCTCTTCCCAACAAACATCCCTTACACACTGAGATGTAACCCTTTTATCCAACCCTACTCAATTTATTGCCAAGGTCTTTGGTGTTTTGTGTTTAATGTAGGTAGATTTTAATTACTACTTTTCTTAAAATAAGCTATTTGTAGAGATTTTTTAAATCTTGAGCCAGATGCATGTGTGGATACTGAAAAGTTGTGTTTGGTTTATGATATCTGCAAACAATTCATATGAATCAATAAAAGATGTACATCTAAGTGTCTTGTTTATTCCTCCTGTTTCAGAGAACCGGGGTTGACTCATTCAGTTGTTTTGTTGTGTCTGCTCAGTCAGTACAGAAAGAAATGTGTTTCTAATCATTGAGTGTAGCACCAGGGCCACCGGGATTCTGAATTGTAACACAGGAGATCTGAGTTATAGTCTAAATTATCCTGCTTTTGAATTGTTTATAGCATTTATATTCTTGTCTGGCTGCAGAACTACCGGACAATTTTGTATTCTAAGCTTATAATTCTTAAACAGGTTTATGCAGTCTTAAGACTGTGTGCATATATTTAGAGGAATGAACCAAATTCCCATTAGTTCATACTGTTTTAAAAATACGAAAACATGTGCACGTGCGCACGCTCACACACACACACACATGCACATGCACACTAGACCATAGGTAGGATTGCCTCTTAGGAACATTGCTTTCCATTATTTGGTCTGTATTTTTGTTTACAGTGTTATTGGATTCAAGGGACTGCTAAAGGACTAGCATTTAATTTGAAATGTTCTTCACTACTGTAATGTTATTTAAAACCAGGCAAATTAAATTTTTTTCTATCTCAAATATTGTCTAATCCTAATAATACTGACAAGGATGTGAGAAAAGGAGAAAATACGTACAATATTGGTAGGATTGTAAAGTACTGTGGCCTTTTTAAAACAGTCTGGCAGTTCCTGTAAAAGTTGAAGCTTCAGTTATCATATGATTCAATAAATCTACTCATCCATATTATTGAAGATAATTAAAAACATGCACATATACCTTAACTAAGTATGCTTAGAAGCACTGTTTTTTTGTTTGTTTGTTTGTTTGTTTTTGATGTTTGTTTGGTTTTTTGTTTGTTTGTTTGGTTTGGTTTTTCCGAGACAGGGTTTCTCTGTATTGTTTTGGAGGGTGTCCTGGCCTCGAACTCACAGAGATCCGCCTGCCTCTGCTTCCCGAGTGCTGGGATTAAAGGCGTGTGCCACCAACGCCCAGCCAAAGCACGGTTTATAATGTTCAAAATTGACAGTGATCCAAATTTTATCAATTGATAAATGAATAAACAAATTGTAATACAATGTAAGTTATTAAACAACGATTAAAAGAATTGAAATTCCTGTAAGTGATATATCAGTATTTATTCTCAAATTATATGAAGTGAAATGATCTAGGTATCACAACATACATATTGCACAGTTCCATTTTTATTAAATATTCGTGCAATATAAGCTAATGGGGAGAGAAGGTAAATTAGTGGTCTCTTGGTAATGAGTATAAGAGAAACAAATAAATGTTGATAGTCATTCATGATCTTGTTTAGAAAATAAAAATGTTATGGTGCTAGCTTCATTTCTCAGTAAATTCATTTAAAAATTGCAGACAACAGACTGGAGAAATGGCTCAGACATGAAAAACTAGGCTCACTACCGAAAAAAATGGAGATAAGCATTCCATTGTTGGTGGCACATGCCTTTAATCCTAGAACTCAGGAGGCAGAGGAAGATGGACCTCTGAGTTAGAGGCCATCCTGGTAGAAGTTGAGTTCCAGGACAGCTAGGGCTACACAGAGAACTCCTGTCTCAAAAAAGAAGTTGTGGACAGGAACACTTGAAATGGGTGAATTTTATTATATAAAATGCTCAATAAGGTTATTTTAAAATCATGATCATTGATGACTGAGTTCACTTTTTACTTGTTAGTTTAAGTACTGTCCACATACCGTCATTGCCTCGTCTGAGTCTGTAATCTTTCTCTCTCTCCCTCTCTCCCTCTCTCCATCTCTCTTTCTCTCTCTTTCCTACACTACTTAGATACTCACTTCAAGGTAAAAAAGAGATGTATTCAGTTCTATTCTTTTTGAACTATGTACATAACCAGGGAGAAAGAAAAAATAAGTATATAATAGAAACTCAGAGGAAGGTTTGGGCATATGTCTCAGTCTACAAGACGAAGAGCAGGGGAAGTCACTACAGTCTCAGGACTGGACAAAGAAAAGAGATGTTAGGCAAAAGAAGTACTGGTACAGGCATCAGTGAGGCATTATCAGTGGATAAAATATCGATTGACTGGCAATTACTAGTTGTTAAGAGGCTGGGGACGCCGGGCGTTGGTGGCGCACGCCTTTAATCCCAGCACTCGGGAGGCAGAGGCAGGCGGATCTCTGTGAGTTCGAGGCCAGGCTGGACCGACAGCCCCCAAAACAGAGAAACCCTGTCTCGTAAAAACCAAAAAAAAAAAAAAGAGGCTGGGGACTGTGGTGAGACTATCCTGTTTCTGGATATAAGAAAACATGTCAGGTCTTATATTCTCACTTGATTAAAATTAGGAGCTAATAGGGTGGGAGGCTGGGGGGGGGGAAGGAGAGTGAGGGAGGAGGGTAGGGAGAGGGAACTGGGATTGACATGTAAAACAAGCTACTCACACTCTACCCTGGAAGGACATGGGGAAACTGGATCCCTGAACATATGGATAAGAGCAGTAAAATAATCGAAACATCAAACAGGTAATTTTTACATGGTTATTAATCCTTTTATTAGTGACTAAGAACAATTGCATTTTTCTGGGCTAGTAACACTACTTAGTTATGTTCAGTATGACTGGTAAGTTTCTATATACCTAGAACTTAGCCTTTCAAGGACTGAGAAATTATTTATATCTGAGTATTGGGATTTCAGGTGCTGTTTGTCTGAACAAAATGGCTTCCTACTTAGGGAACTTGCTCCACAGCATGACTATCATCCACTAAGCTTATACTCTTGTGGCATCTAAAGGTAGCAAATTCCATTCATTAATAACTCCTTTATAAGTAGTAGTGCAGTGACAATGACGTAAAATGGAATATTAGTATGTGGAGGTTAGTGTGCAGATTAGTTTCTTGTCATTTTGATACAGCCTAAAGTATCTGAAGATGGACCATAATTGAGAAAAAGGCTCTTTGGGTGGCCTGTAGGCAAGCCTATGGGGCATTTCTTGATTAATAGTTGATATGGGAGAGTAGTACTACCCCTAGGCAAGTAGTTCTGGGTTGTTGAAGAGAGTAAACTGAGTAAAGCATGGAGAGCAAGACAGTGAAAAGCATTTCTCCATAGCCTCCGTTTCAATGTCTGCCTCCAGGTACCTGTTACTGCTCCTGCCCTGACATTTATGCCAAACAAATTGAAAGTTGCTTTTGATCATAGTGTTTCTCAGAGCCATAAGAAAAACTAAAGATACTCTTATGTGAGTTGACCCCCACATGTGCATTAATAGCTTGTATTTTATTGAACCAAAGCCTCATGATAGAGATGGTAGTTGCCCTTAGTAATATTTATCTTATGAAGAAGAAAAGTAAAGTTCTGACAGATTTAATGATGTTTTTCTGAAGATTATATGACTTTAAACAATATTCTGGAATTCTAGCTTGAGCCTGTATGCCCCTTGGACTTAAGTGTGTTCCACTATTCCATGGATGTCTCCCGATGACTAGCATTAGGAAACATAATGTTTATCCAACTAAGTCCCCCATATTGTTTATATGGTAAAGGTTGGGTAGGAGGAAAGCCAACAATACAAATTTCAATTATCATAGACCATAAACATTCTCAAGGAAAGACTGCTTGTTTGTTTTTTCAAGGCAATGTGTAAAGAAAGGAGCATCATTGTAAGCAATGCTTGTACTACCTAAGCCAAATACAGAAAATTTGTTCTCTTATTGCACCCTTGCCAGTAAGTTAGTGTGATGTGGGGGTCAAGGCCTATGTTCTTACTTTCCTATAATGACATACTATTTTCTGTCCTACCAGGCTGATACCAAACAAGTCCAAATGCAACATGGAGACTTTGTCACTACTTGCATCCCACTAAGGTATCAGTGAAAATTTAGTAGGAGACTGGGATTTCACCTTGCCACATATTTACCGAGCGTTCTTCTCACTTCCATCCCTGCAAGTGATTGTTAGTGGAAGTTTTGGGAAAGGCCAGAACATTAGCTACTATCTTGAAATAACAAGGTATGTTTCCATTCAAAGATGTCAGTGGTGGTCATCTGGGGAACAGTAATATGTTACCTTCCTCTGGCCAGGTCAGTATCTACAGAAATCTCAAAAAGAATTAAAAATTTCATGTTACCAGGAATAAAGATGGGTCTCTCACCTCTGAGTATAATGAGAGGCTGAGTGAAACACTTTGACCCCACCACCACCGACTGGCAGTAATAACAGGATGAGTCATGTCCTTCAGTTGTTGTGTCAGGTTCCTTGTAACCTTTTTCACTTGCAATTCTTCCACTTTGAGTCACTCTGACAACCACTCTGACCACTTTTGCCTATTTATCAATTATCTCAAGCATGCTCATCACTCCAGAGCATTTATAATTACCATTCTTTCTGTGTAGCATTAATCTTGCCACTAATATCATTATGTTTCAAGATTCTTCTTAACTGTTACCATCTCAGATAAGGCTTTTCTGATTTTGTTATGTCTCAAATAGTTCATACATATGCAAGTTCCTGCTCAGCACATCTCCCTTCCAGTTCCTTGTCCTTTTTTCTGGTTTTACTTCTTATTTTTAATCTGCTGAATCCAAACAGTGTTGCCCATATATGCATTGACATGGAGTCAACCTACTGAGGCATGGGCAACTTACTAGTGACCATACTCCCAAAGGAGAATGCTTTTCCTCTTCCAACACCTATCAACTGTCAAGGGCTCCTTAATTAGGGATGGGCTCTTGTGTGCTTCTATCCCATCCATGCTGGAATTTTGCTGACAAAATCTTAATATTGTGCCAGTAACCCCAACTGCTGTGAGCTGTGTTAAATGGCAATATCATAACCAAAAGATAACATTTTACAACACTCCTCCACATCCTACAGCTCTTAGATTCTTTCTCCCTTTTATTCTGTGATGTTCCCTGACTGAACCTTGGGGGTTTATATAGATGCCCCATTTAAGGATAAGTGCTTGTTCACATGTTTCTCAATGGGAACAAGTTTGACAAGTGCCATTCTAGATATAAATAAATTC